AAAAAAAAAAAAAAGAATAAGAGTCCCAACTGAGGCTGCAATCCACTATTTCCGCAGCTGGTTTTGGTTTTCCAACAACACAGTTTTGAAGGGCCTCAGTAACTCCTTGGGTCTTCTTTGTGATAAGGAAGAATGACCATAAAGGGAGTAAGATGTTAACTTGAGATCTTATGCTCCCTCCCAGGAAGCCACCCCCTCTTGAGAATAAATGCGAAGAAAACACACATTCCCCCTGTTACAAGCACATATCCACAATTATTCTAATGTGTAAGTGTGCATTTCCATAGCTCCAGGTTGAACACATTTATGAAACTTGAGCCAATGAAGGAAAGACAACCATGTGGATGGACTACTATGCAAACTTCAAACTATGTCATTATATTTTTATTTTATGAACCTCCTTGCCTAACATCTCATCACACCCAGATTATAACCTGCACAAAGGCAAAGGGAATTTGTGGTTCCCTCTTGTTCATTCATGCATTCCTGATACCTAGCATAGAGATAATCAAATATTAGGTACTCTATGAATGTTTATTGAACAAATAAATGAATGCAATGATTCAGCTTCTACCATATCTATGCTAGATAGACAGGAACTATATTTGTCTTATCACCGTATCCCAGCTGATGCATAGTAGACGCTCAATAAATGTTTGATGAATGAATAAAGAAAGGAGGAAAGGAAAGAGAAAGGGAGGGAATCAAGGAAGGAAGGAAGGAAGGAAGGAAGGAAGGAAGGAAGGAAGGAAGGAAGGAGAGAGGGAAAGGAGGATCTTAGACTAAGAGGCAAGCACTGCCCTGACCTATGCAGTGCTAAGGTTTTGCTGAAGTTGTGTACTCTCCTTCCTGAATTTCCCAGGTTTTTAGAAGCCCAGCAGCCACCCTCACTCTGAAGAAGCTGCCTATTTGTTACACTGAGTAAATGCATGATCACAACAACAAAGAAGTATCATTACAGAGAATTTAGTCTCATTTGCAAAATTTTGCAGCAAGGACAAATATAACCAATGAAACAATTAGAAGCAGAAGTTTGTGAGTTTCAAATAAAATGTGGTTTTAAGAAAAAGCCATGAAACAATTAGACTTTAATCACTACGTCTCTGCCTCTCTGCTCCTCCCCAGAGCATCGTATTCCTCTCTCTCCTCTGCCCTCCCCAGTGCTTATTCCAACCCCCAACAAGTCCAGTGAACCCTGAAGACTTTTGCCCTCATAATCCATCTCGGAGATGTCTCTCTTTGCCATTTTCTGTAGAATCACTGCAGCCTGTCCATGTCACTCACCTCCCACCTCCGCTAGCTGCCTCCTGGGGCAAGATGCAATGATCCAGTTAAAGCTTCCTGCTCTGTATAACACAGGGACAGGGCATTCTGTGCAAGGAAGCCTGTTCTAAGTGAGTCACCATTCCCCTGAGACCCTCCCCCATGTCTGAGAAAGCTGATGCTGACTGAGCTCAGAGCAGCTGGCTCATCCCCCTTCCTACACAGAGGCAGAGCCACCAGGCCAACACGCAGTGGACATTCACTGCCAGCGTGCTAAGTGATCAGGTGGATGGTCTATGTGAGGCAGCCCAATGGGGGCCACTTGGCGAGCTTCCAGTAGGCTTGCAAGTCCAGATATTGAATGTCTGTCTTGGTAAGTACATTTGACATCTACTCAGGTTATTCTTCAAGTTTCAGGGGTAGAAAGAAAGCAGCTGAGAGAAGCCATGAGTCTTTACTAGCTTAGGCCAAAAGCCATTAGGGTCCTGTCCCCAGTGCCCTGGTGCTTCCACAGGAGGCTAGGAGGTCATTCCTGGGTGGAGGGCAGTGCCCCATGGACACATACTCAAACTGGGGCCTAAAATACCTGAGGGGAAGCAACAGCAGAATGAATTCAACTGGCCCAGTCATTCACCCACACACACAGTTACTGAGGTCTACCCAGTGCTAGGGCATAAAGAAGGCGCTGGACGCACAACGAGGAAGAAGAAACGCTAGATCGCGTCTTCACAGTCCAGGGCAGGGAGAACAAAAATAAACATACAAATTGGGCGCAGGAATCCCAGAAGAGACCAGCAGGGCCACCTACCTTGATATTAGGAGGTCAGGAAACCTTCCTGGAGTGAGAAACATGCTGATCTGCCTGGCTTGGAAATTGACCACTGCTCCCTATGTAACAGAAGACTTCATGGGGTCAAGGGTGAGGTCCCAGCTGTGCACCCTGGAGCCAGGACTTACTTTACAAGGACATACTCTGTTCTCCTAAAACGTGGTGGCTGGGCAGCTGGGTCAATGCAGGGACACAGAACAAAGGGTTGACCCCAGCTCTGCCACTCGCTGGCTTTGTGGTCCTGGGCAAGTCATTTCAGCTTTCTTGGTCTCCTTTACCCAACTTGCTCAACCTGGGGCACTGCAGCATGAGCACTGCAGGTCTCTCCTGCCATAGAATTCAGGCATCCTAGGACCATTCCACACTACCAAAATGAGGCTGGCTTTTTCATAGCTGAGTCTCCCTGCCCCCAGAACACAGGCTGTAGTTGCTCTAGAGGGGAAGAAAATCATTCTCACCTTTCCAAACCCCACAATATTCTGGCAGCAAGGCAAGGGAGTAAAAAAGGGCAATTACCAAGCCTCTACCATGTCCCAGGGGCTTTACCCACATGATAGCTCATTTCATCTTCACTACAATCCTGAAAGGTAGGCATAGTTGCCCCCATTTTACAGACAAGGAAACTGAGGTTTGGAAAGGCTAACAGGACATATCCAGAAATACAGACCTTGAAAGTGGCAGAGGCTGAACTGAAGTCAGCACTTTGAGGCACCAAAGTGACCTACACCACCTACCCCCTGCAATTCTGAGGCACAACACAAAACCCTAAAGCAGAAGCTCAGTCAGCTCCACACAGAAACGGAGAACCAGGAGCAGCCTAGTGATGGCTGCTAAGGGTCACCATGCTGTAGAGGATACAAACCCTCAGGTTCTCCTGAACAGACCATGCGCCTGTCAAACTCCTGCAAGCCTCCACCTACCCCGGCACTGATGAAGGAAACTTGCCTATTCCTTCTGCAAACCTCAGCTCCCGTGAGTCTGGCAGGGGGGTGTGCTGACAGAGCCTCCAATTTCCTTTCTGATGAAACCTTTGGACTCCTCTGTGCTTGCTCTGTAAAGATGCTGGGGCTTTCTTTTAATTTCTTGACCTCCAAGAGAGAAAAATCACTTCAAAACCTGGTGGTCCTACTTCTCTCATTCAGTTGAGAAAATTTCTGAGGTGTGCTCAATTTCCCCCTTCAAAAAAGAAAGCAATGTGAAGGTCTTGGGCTCTGCCATGGGTTCAAATTGTTTCCTGTCAGATTGGCGGGTCTAAGCTGGTTAACTGAGAGGAAGGCAATGTGTCCAGAGCTCCCTTTCCCTACTAGACTAAGAGCTCCTAGACTCCCGAGGAGGTCCCAGCTCTGATACTTCCAGCTTCCCTGGGGCCCAGAACACAAACCTCCATGGGTGTTTGTGGATTCAACCAAACATCCTTCCTACAGAAGGTCACACGAAATCAGTGTAACAGGGTATAAGAAACAGAAGTTTTCCCTCAGGTACCTTCCAAAGGAGGTGGCAGACACTTCTGTAATTTAAAAAGGAAATGGCTCCTCCCCAAAAATCGCAAGACTGCCAAGTCCACTTACAAAGGCTGGTAGTTGAACAATTGGAAGGGAATTTTTGAGAATTCCTTTGGAGAGAGCTGTGCCATGACTTATTGAGGTATGTCCTCCACTGTTTGGGGTCACAGCGGATTTCCGACTCCTCCGTGAATAATCCAAGACTCACAGCTGACAGCCAAGCCAGCGGAGAGGAAGCTGGGTAGCAGGGCTTGCATTCCCAGAAATGCCAGAATGAGGAAGTCATTGGCGTCTCCTGGGGAACTCTTTGCAAGAAAGAGAAAATAGTCATAGGTCGTTTCATCACATCTAGGAGAGACACTTGAATAAGTAGACCACAGCAGAGAAAGGCTGGGTGCCGCAGGAAGGAGAAGGCTCAGAGCTGAGCGAGGGTCCGTCATGTGCATTATGGGAATGCAAGTGAGGGAGCCTCAGAGCAGAGGTTGGGAGGGTGTGAGAGATGCTGTCACACGTCACCATCTTCCTTGGATTCCCTTTACCATTTTTGTCCATTTATTTCCCAGCCTCTATGTGCTTTTGCTTCTAACAGGCTGCATCTGCAACTCCCTTTGGAGGGGTGCCCTCAAGTTGAAGCTGCTTTCCCTGCAGGAGGAAATTGCTGAAAGCCTCTGGGAATTTAGGTCCCTGCATATTCCACTCCCATTATGAGTCCAAGCCAGTGCCTCATGGGACAGGTGGTGGCGTGTGAAAGCCCAGCTTCTTTGCCTTAAATCGGGACAAACTCTGGGGCGTGATTTATACTCCAAAGTGTCCCTTTGTAATCCATTCAATCTCCATGGGATTTTGCCTGAAATCACATCCCTGCTTGGCTTCCTCTCCTTCCCCATCCAGATATCCCCCACCACTTTGCACCCAACCTAATACAGGATGTCTGCAGAGCCCCAAGAGAGAGTCAGAAAGAACGCCAGCCAGTCCGCACCAGCGCCCATCAAGTAAAAATGCTTCTGTGCTCCTCACCTCTTCTCCCTTCTTTAAACCCTAGACCTACAGAAACTGTGATTAACAAGTTGGGGGTAGGAAGGATAGACACTGAAGTCACAGGGGACAAGAAGAAACCATCCACATTCCTTTTCCTTCCTTCTCCTCCATTCCTTCCTTCTCCTGTGTTCTGCCCTTAGCTGGCAGAACAGAAAATGCAAAATGGGGGCTATATCACATTAAACCCAGTTCAAAGTTTTGACTCCTCCATAGGAAGTGAACATTGAATTACTAACACCAGAGGACTTTGTACTACGCAGAGTAACTAAAGAAGTCGTGAAGTCCTCTTGAATTGTCAACCAAGGCTAGAGGAAGGCTGAGTGTGAGGAGCACTGGGGCAAGGCTGCCAGTAATCCCACACCTCCTCCAAGCTTCTCCTGCCCTTTGCTTATGGCCAGTTGTTTTGAAACCTCACTGAGCATCAGAATAACCTAAAGAACTGGTAAAAAATGCAAATGTCCCGACCCCAGAGATTTAGATAGGCTGCAGCTAAGGCATGTTGTTGCAGGCTGATTACATTAATAGCCCCAATTCCTCACCCCTTCCTGTATCCGCCCTTTGCCATCTACATTCTGCTCCCTGCCCCCTCCCAAATATGGGCTTAACCCTGTGACTTCCTTTGGCCATTTGAATAAGCGAAAGTAAGGATGTACCACTTTTGAATCTAGGCCTCGGGACACCTTGCAGATGTCCCTCTCGTTCTCACACTTCTGCAATATCCTAGGAAGGACACACCCAGACTGGCCAACTGGACGATGGGGTGGTAGGGCAGCGTTCAGTCTCTCCAGTCATCCCTTCCACGGACAGCCTACCTCTGCCAATAGCCAGCTGACCCCCAGACTTGAGAGCACACCCAGCTGAGAACAAGGAAGCCACCCAGCTGAGCCGGGTCTAAATCACCAACCTGCAGGCTCTTAGACTAAATAAACATGTATTGTTTTAAGCCACTGGGCTTGAGGTTGTTCTGTTGCATGGCATTATGATGTAGGTATCAATTACGCCAGGATTGACCGTGCGGCCCATCAACAGCCCCTCCGCCTTACCCCTACCAAGCTCGTCACATTCTCCCTGGGGCAGGAGATGGGGCTGGCCTCTAACTTTCCCACAGACAGAACCCCCGGAGGGTAGAGACCCACCAGGGGCATTTATTTGTGTATCCTCCATAGCTTTTGCCCAATAGGCACTGAAGTGCCATCTGCCGTCTCATGGGGAGAGTGCTGGTATCTCACAGACTGTAATGAGTGTGGAGAAATAACAGCAGTACTTACTTTTACTGACCCCTGAGCAGTTAGCAACTATGAACAACACACTAGAGAAAAGGGAGGAGGAGTCATAGACAGAGAAATTAAAACGGAAATTTAAAAGTGAATTTTTTTCCCTTTTATTGGCGGCATAATTAGCCAGAGGAGCCCCAACTGATGCAGTTATGACTACTCTGATATGAAACTGAGATAGAAGGGAGAAGACTCAAATGAAAAACAATAACACTTAGCATTTATATGACTTTTTTACACGCAGCACTTTTTGTTCCTTTTGTACCTTACAGACATTAACTAATTAATTGCCATAGCACCCCAGAGTAGACTGTGGGTTTTCCTGTCTATTTTACAAGGGACAAAAATAAGCACTAAGCAAGGCAGGAGGAAGTTCTAAGCTCCCGGGACTCTCCTCAGGTCTTTTGCATCCTGCCACAACCCTGAGGGCTCACATTTTTTTTTTATATCTTTGAACCCAGAGTCCTAGAAATTCTTATTAATAGACTTAAAATATTAGTATATTTAAGCTGGAAAGGATATTAAGGAAGTGATGATCCGAATC